TGATTGATGTCATAAAAATTATTGAGAAAATTGGATGATAACTTAGGAAATTTTGTGTTGAAATGTCATGACTTTATGAAATGACTATGTGGGATGATTGTGTAAATGAGTTGTGGAAAGTTTGTATGAGTTAAATATAGGATTGTAAGGTGTATGGAAGTATTAAATTGGATTGAATACCCTTTGGTTTGTGATCTTGATGATTTCGGCCAAATGAGGGCATTTGGGGTTGGATGATGCAAAATTATGTAATTGATGTGTTGTGGTAGCCTTGGGATGCTAAAGAAAAATTAAAATAAAATTTAGAATTTTTTTTTTTGTAAAAATGGCCTATGTTGACCGAACCTTGCTAGTGAAGGGGGGAATTTTGGTGCTTTGAAATCTTGTTGATTGCACCTTGTATTGATGATCCTTGTGTGATCATTGTAGTTTGCCTCCTGTGGAATTGAACTCGGAACTGTGAGCTTGGGGGTTGCCTTTGGTCCCGGACCAAAGGGATTGTGGTAAGTGGTCTTGAACCTATGCATGTATAATGGATGAACTTGCATATATCTTGGTTGGTTGATATTGAAATGGAAATGGCCTATGTGTAGGCATTTCTTGTGAACCAAGCTCGGTGATACTGTGAATTGGAGCGATCAAGTGAAGGAGATTATTCAGGTAACCTCTTGGTACTGGAGCTTGATCCCCTTGTGTGTTCCACCATGCCCGTTAAGGGTAATGGTAGGAAGTGTATGTAAATAATATAGGATAGCATGATCATGCATATTGTATGTGTGTTGGTACATAGGATGTACCGTGTCTCTGGCCAGTGACTGTTTGCCTTCGGGCGTTACGAACTTTCACTGGATAGGTCTTCGTGAAGGAGTTCCAGTTGACCTGGGGTCGTGGTGTGTGATCCGGATAGGAGTACACTAGGAAGTCTCGGGTGGATATGGATGGAGGGTGCCTTGGTTTGATGTTCTGGGAACACGCCTTGGTTTGAAACCCGTAGGCTTATATGCCGAGCTAATAGGCTGGACGTTGCATGGTTTTGGCATTGACCAATCCAGCTTCGTCGTATTTTGTATCCCTATGCTCCCCTACTTCACTAAATCCCTTGCTTTATCCTGTTTTCAAATGTTATATTGTATTATTTATATGCATCGAAGTGAACCATTGAGCGAAGTATTCTCCAGAACCTCTGGGTTACTGAGATATATTCGTATATCTCACCTCACTTTGGGGGCTTTATTTCAGGAGGTAGCAGTGGAGTTGGAGCGGCGGGCAAGACGTCCGTAGGATGACTTGGACATAGGATTGCATATTTTGCATTTTGTTGGCCATTGGGCCTAGGCTAGACTTAGCTCATGAACAATGCATGTGATTAGGATTATGAGTATCATTTTGTTCATGATGTATTTTGCCTATGTTTAGTCTTGATTATCATGTTTAATTTGGAGTATGTACTTTATATATATTTGAAGGAAGATTGTAATTGTAATATGTCATTTGGAAGATTTGTAAATTGTACATGAAGACTTGATGTAATATGGAAGTATGTAATATGATGAAAGGGCAATAGGCTTATTCTAGGATTGAATTATGTTTTACGATGAATGCATGCAAATGGATTATGGTGATTGAAATATGTTAAGTTTGAAAATATAAGTAAAGTGATGGAAATTGAGTAACTTAATATAAACTGTGATGGGTTGTAAGAGCCACAAGGCATTGCTGGTCCTTGTGTGTGCCACCCAATGATTATTAGGTACAATTTGAGGATGTGAGAACACTTTTGCAAATTGGGGATTTATTGGAAAAACAAAGGAAACTCTGGCGAATTTTCTAGAAATTGACAGAATTTAGGTGAACTTTGGAAAAGCATATATCCCTCCATAGAGGTCCGATAGGGACGTGCCATACGCTGTTTTGAAGCTTGAGATGTCCTCTATCTGTGTCAAATTTTGAGGAGATTCTGCGTTGGGCTTCGTCCTTTAGAAGGCAGAGAGCACGGACTGCCCATGTTGCCACTACACATGTGACAGTTCTGGATCGAGTTTTGGAAAATTATTCCTGCTTCGTTTCTTGGTCAAATTAGGTGTATGATATGTAAAATTGAAGCTTGATGTGTCTTGTTTGTTGTATAAAAATTTGAGAGAAATTGGTTGAGTGAATTTTCCAGAATAATTGATTAAGTGAAGGATGTTTGGAGCTGTTTTGGGGTTGGCTGACAGATTTGCTTGTCCAACTTCAAACGGCGATATCCAAAGCAAACGAGAACTTTATGACTCTTGTGATAGCTTCCTAGAAAGGTAATTAAGTCTAGAATAATGTACTAAAATATGGAAGACTTGTCGTATGCGGTTTGTCCGCAAAAAATTAAAGACCGAACCATGTTCGGATAGGTAGAAAACGTAAAAGTGAGATTTTAGCTAAGTGGGTTTATGGGAACCCCTTAGTGACTTGAGAGATGTAAAAATATGTTATAAAAGTAGTTAAAATAATTATTCCGCAAAGAGTTTACAGTTACAGTCACAGCTTTTATTATTACGCTTTTTATTATTTTAAATGCTCGCGTAATAAGCGAAAAAAGTTTACTCGTATTTTTATAAATGAACTGCTGTGATTGTAACTGCGCTTAATATCATAATTAATGTTAACAATACCGGTGTACAATGGGCTGTTACAGTCGAGGTACTGGGTCACTGGTTCAACCACATGACTCGGTAATTATATGCAATTCTATAATCTATATTAAAAATTATAAACATACTCAAATATCTAAAAATAAAAAATAAAAATTTCAAATATTTTAATATAAAAAATAAAAAAATCACATATTATTATCCAATAAAGGATCAAACAAAAATATAATGATCGTGATACGGGACTTCAGGTTCAGTAAACGACATCTCTAACTATAAATCAAATTAAAATTTTCTGCATTGTGCATAATTGAGATAATATTAGTGTTGTAGGTATATAACTTATATAAGTCAATAAGCAAAAAAAAATTCAAATATGTCCTTTATTTTATTTTTTTTGAAAAAAAAGTTTTGGATTTTTTTTTTAGACCGGACCGGATCACCGGATTTCATGAAAATCAGTCGGGTCGCACTGGTTCTGATGCATGGCCGATCCGTTGCTTCAACTGAACCGATTATATGATCGATTTACCAGTTTCGGGTCTACCCAACCGGGTCGGTCTGATTTTATCAACATTGGTCTCCGACGCTTTCTATAATGTAATTATATAGGAAATTATGCTTTTTCATCATACAATTGAATAATACAAGGGTTCTTTTTTCTACAGTCAATGTAGATAACTTATTTACATTGATCCCAAAACGACGTCATTTTGAGGCGAAAATCACGTTATTTTTGTAATTATAATTTATTTCAGGATTATAATAGTCTTTTTCATTATAATTTTTTAATTTTTCAATTAAAATAACGTTGTTTTAGGAGCGAATGTAGATAAGCTTATCTACCTTCACTATAGAAATATTAAAGTCATAATACAATTTTATTAAAACACTCCAAATGAGGATAATATGGTGATGAATCGCGAAAGTAATTGTAAGAAAGAAGAATTCAAAACACGAAAAATATCATTAAAAAATACGTAACGATGTTGATTAGATAATTAGTTTTAAAAATAATAATAAAAAAGAAAAATCCAAAAGTGATTGTATCAATGTTTTATTGGCTAAAGAAAGAATGTCCATACATAGGTGAGTTTTATAGAAGTTGGAAAACAAAAAATTCACCGAGAATTGGAAGCAAAGGGTGAGAGTGTAAAGAAATACAAAGATGTAAAGAGAAGTGCTTAGCAAATTTGAAGGAAGTGCTTAGCAAATTAAATCTTTATTTAATATGTTCACACCAATCGATTATTTTGGCTCCTATTTCAACTCAAACAATATAACGAGAGACTATACTAAATCCAAACTTTATTCTCTACTATGATTATTACTATATTTAATTTGTTTTACAAGGACTCTGGGGATAAAAGGATGCAACATACTTAAAATTTGTTTATGATTGTGTGTAGAATGTTACTGTCATACAAGAATATGTAAAAAATATTTTCATGTCTTACCCTTTTTTTTTAAAAGAAATATCACCAACCCCAATTAATTTGGGATAAAGGTGATGTTAATATTATTTTTAAAGAGAAAAAATCAAATTAAAACTAATTTGAAATATGGATAGACAATAATAAAGAGAGTATAAATAATTTATCCACTAGGGCTAGCCTAATGGTGTGAGTGTGTGTAATAGGGTGTGTGTGAGTGTGTGGTTGTGTGTTTTATTCACTGTAACCTAAAAAAAAAGAGAGAGTATAAATAAAAAAATATTTTAACTTTGAAACTACGTAAGGGTAGTTAAAGAAGTAAACATTAAATATAATTATGAAAAGGTAGAAATATACAAAAAAGATAATCCCACTCTTTTTTTTTTGGGAGCCTTTTTAAAAATGCAAATGAATGTTAAAAAAGAAGTGTTATAAAAATCGATCCGAACTAGTCGGTTCAACTGGTTGGCTCATAAACTGGACCCTCAACTGGTCCGGTTTAGGTATTGGCTCGGTGATGCATTTGACTTGGTATGAAACTGATAAATCAATCCTAAACCGAGTTCAACTGATATTAACTGGCACCGGTTTAAAAAAAAAAAAAAAACTAATTTTGTGAAATTTTGGACAAAATAGTTGAAAAATATCACTAATGAAATTCAAACCTAGTCCACGTGGATTAAAACTTATAACATTTACCATTAAATTAACTTTAATTATTATCTAAAATACTTTTAATTTTATATTTTTATATTTTATTATATCTATTTAATTCATGCATTTGAACCAATGACCTACTAATTTAACCGGTGATTCATTAACCCAATACTCCGATCGAGTTGATGATCAGTTCGAGTTCGATAGCACTGCTTAAAAGGGACTTCTATTTTTCATTTGATGCAGTTAAAATCAGTACATTGCCTGTGAAAGACTCTTCTGATTTATTGCTCAAACATTAGAAAGTGAATGGATCCACATGAGATCATTTGATAAGATTCAACCGTCCATAAATAATTCAACGGTTATAATTTTCTCATCTTCAATCGCAATACACTTTCTATAAAAGTTAATTTGTCTTTGAACGTAACACATGAGAGATGAGAGGATACATTGTCATGGTAAATAACCCTAAAACAGAGTCCCCTGATAATCTATACACCAAGAACTTTCAATACACTGGTCACCCTCACCTCCACCACCAGAACAGTTTAAACAGGTATATCTTTCTCATTCTAGCATTGTAGGTCAAGAAGGCTCTGGCTTTGACAGGATCGGCATTTAAATATTCAAATGCATACATCTGTTTACCCTCTTCCAATCCATCTATCTCCATCACGGCCTGTAATAGCTCAGTCGCATCAACTGAACATTTGCTATGCTCCATTGCATCAGCCAAACGTCTTACGCTCGATGCTACCATCATCAATGCATCCTGAAGAGCATCTGAGCCGCGAGGCCGTTTCGGAAGTTGTTTCAGAGGCTGTACCACAGGAGGCTCTTGAAAACCATTTGGTATTTGGCCATATTCTGGAGGCCCGTTGTATGATTCAGTTCCATCTGTCTCACTCATGCCTTCTGAACTGGGAGAGACAAAGGAGGCTGATTCATCCTCACAATTCTTCATGTCCATTACATGGTTTCCATTCTTCATCTTAGCCCAACGATTAGGCGCTTGATAATTTCCGCAAACAATTTTAAGTTCATCATACATCTCTATCTGCTTTCCGCGGAGTCCTCTTGCATCAGGATGTGCCTATCCATTGAATCGGTTGAAATATGAGACAATCTGTATGTTATTGCTTGAAAAACCATGTATATGGGTTTATAATATATAGCCTGATGAGTATTGCCAATAATTACTTTCCTAATTAAAGTGATAATTCTAGGGAAATAGAGAGAGAAATCAGACCTATTATCTGTATCACAATTCCCCTATAATCTGAGTTATCATAACCTATCTAATAAAAGGAAAACCAAATCAATAATAATTATAAGATATACATGCTATATTAGAATCATAGAACAGCAGAATAGGTATTTTGCATAAATTCATACACATTCAAGGAGGGAGAAAAATTAAAGATAAACTTACAGCAATGTATTTCTTCCAGAGCTCATCACTCTCACTCTCTATCATCTTTGTATTTGGATTCCACCAGAAACCATCCTGAGTTAGCATATCTTTTATTACTTTATACCTCTTCTTAATTGTTTTCAGACGGTTAATGACTTTCTGATTATTCAAGTTCAAGTTGAAACGAGAGTTTACAGCTACACAGGCAGCAGTATAGGCATTTTCATTGAAACATTTGTCAATTTTGTTTCCACTTTTTGCCTGAATTGCCAGGGCTTCAATCAGACACTTATCCATCGCAATTGACCACACAACATTTCTTCCTTTGTGTTTCATATCCCTTCTTTGTCTTTGCAGATCATAATGTTCCATTTCTACATAAAATACAAAATTGAATACACCGTTCAATTTAATAATGCATGCATCATCATTTTCCACATATATTTAATTTAACAGTATTATCCCTATTTACTTAAATATAATATGAATCGTGAAATTAATAAATGTTTAACACAAGAAAAAGGTAAGGAATGGTCTGGTCAAGAAACAAAAAGTAGATGCATAATTCAATATTTGGTTATTGGTTGTCATAGTTTTTAAGGTGTGTTTGGATCAATGTTATGAAAACTGGACTAGTTATTGACCCGATTGGGGTACTAGGTCAGTGGATCACTGGTCCAACCAATGAGTCACCAGTTGAACCGCTTGATTTGAATATTTATGAAAGTATGTAATAAATATAATAGTAGTTGTAAAGAACCAATTCAATCCAAAAACTTAAATTGTTGGGTGAGGGCCTCTTTAATGGTTTATATTGTACTCTAACATGCCCCCCTCACAAGAAAGCTCATTGAACTTGAAAGGTAGATAATGCATCAGGCCCAGCCTACCTGTGCTAAGAAATTCCACAAAGAAAATGGGGGACGGCGAAGATCGAACCTGGGACACGAGGTTCTGATACCATGTAAAGCACCAATTCAACCCAAAAGTTTCAACTATTGGGTGAGGGCCTCTTTAATGGTTTATATTGTACTCTAACAGTAGTAATAAAATATCATAAATGGACCAGCGACATAATGGTTGTTGTCACTTACTTCCTCCGACGTGTTCTGGAGTTCAAGTTCTGCCAATTGCCATTATGTTAAAAGATTTTTCACAAAGCTGCAAAAGAAGCTTGTCCAACCATGTTCTGAGTTCAAATTCTGCCAGTTGCCATTATGTTAAAAGATTTTTCACAAAAAAATTTGTAAACAGTTTGTAAAACATGCAAAAGTAAGAATTAGCATAAATTCTGGCCAAAGATCATTCCACCAGAATTGAAAGTAATTCTCAGTTTATGTGGAAGTATACAGGCTATGCATTCTTTGGTGCCACACTCGCAAGGCTTTATGATTGTCTATTTGCCCCAAAACTTGTTATAGGATACGGTAATGTTTATGGTTCCTCTAGGAATTTTTCTCAAGATTGTTTCATGGACATATGATATCTTTGATAAGCAGAAAAACAGAACATCCTCACTTAGATTCTGAGGTTTTTCCCATTCCTAGTCATGCCTAGAATTTTCTAGTTTAGAGGATATCTCATCCTCCCCTTTCTATAATTTTGATCACATGGCTATGAAAGAGCCAGCAAACATAGCTCGGCAAATCAGACATGAACATCTACAGCTTCATCGCTGATGTGTTTCTACAATGAGCAAGTCCTCAAAATGCTCTAACAATCCAACACAAACAACCTTTACAGCCACAAACTTCGGCATCGGTTCCCAATATTACAAAGTAGCAGCAAAAACTGCCCAGTAAAATTTTTGATTTCCTGGAGAGCCCAAATCTGCGAGGAGCAAAGAGAATCGAAGAACACAGAGTGGGCAATTTTTCCACTTTACAACAGAATGAGCTATACTGAAGATGGGAATTTGAGAATCCCATGGATGCAAATTGAAGTGAACAGACCACATTTTGTGCATAACCAAATACCAAAGAAAAATAAGATTAACAGGAAACTAATTTAAACACTAGTACCAAACACATTGAGCTGAATTTCCAAAATGAAGTTTCCTGGAAAATACTTTAAAAACCTAATTGTACCAAATACATCCTTAAAAAGCCACTTATTCCTTACTATGTCCTCTGATATCAAACACATTGCTTACATTAATATCCAGCTATTTCTTGCAAAGCAAATGCAAATTCTAACAACAATTTTTCCAAATTGTTACTCCTTCTACTTTAACCACATTATTCAAAAACCAATATTCAGTCATTCTGGTAATCTGGTCCTATCAAATTGCTTACACTTTACAATGACATAAACCAAAGCCATCCAAAACCACAAAAAAAAAAAGCCAGTTCAGCACAAGTTCTATTACAATGGAGCAAGGGAAAAACATTATGAATAAAAACAAAAATGTGATTACTAAAGAGTGTGCAGTTTCCTTTCAATAAATGAATTATCACAAAAAAAAAAAAAAAACGTGAGATCAAATTGTAGAATCGAATTCTAAAGCTTCAACAGCAACAGAAAAAAAAAAATAGAACTGCATCAGAATGAAGAGAATGCAGAGAAGAAACACCTGCTACAACGGATTGATGAAAACTGAATCTTATAGGTGACCGTCTAGAAATCGCCGGTCAGATCACGGAATTCGAGTGCATCTGATCTGGAATAGAGCATTGGAGTGCAGGACGGTAACTGTGACAGCTCATTCTGATGGTTAGGGTTTTCTCGGGAAAACAGATGGGAAAATTTTGTTCCATCATTTTCTCGAAGACCAAACGCAGAAAAGAAAATCTAGTCCATTCCAGTCATGGGATCAGGTGTAACGCAGTGTGAGAGACGACACTGAAACAGCTTATAGTTAACTGCCACGTGTTTAGAATCGTAATAGCGGGAAGAGTACGATGCAACTATTTTACGCAAGGAACTTTAAAAGAGTGATGAAAACTAATAGTTCATAATTTAAAACATTAATTGATTTTAGTTCAACACGAACTAAATTAATTTTTTTATAAGGGTCAACTTATATGGTGTAAAATATATTAAATCTTAAGGGCTGATCTATTTATATTTAATATTTCTAATTTATTATTTAAGTGGGTATTAAGATAGAAAATGAGATTAACAAAAAAAATTGAAAGGGTAATATATATTCATTTAAATTATTTTTTCTTAATATTTATTAATTATTCAAAGAAAGTAAGAGGTAGATCAAAACTTACTTGGAGAAATGCAATAAAATAAGACTTAATGGAGTGAGATATATATTGATAGATAATGTGTCTTAAAACGAGTTGGATAAAAGCTATTACTATGATGAATGGTTAGACTCATTTTTTCCTATGCTTTATGTGGTCCATTTTTAGTCATTTTTTTCTTTATCTCCCACTCTTTCTTTCTCTACCTACTTTTTTTTTTCTTTCATTATTTCCTTTTAATTTATGTATTTCTTCTGTTAATTTGCTCTTTCTCTTTTATCCCCTATATTTCTTTATTTTTTTTACTTTATTATTCTTTTTATCCTCTTATATATCTTTTTTTCATTTCATTTAGATTTATTTTTCTTTTTAATTGTTTACTGCTATTTTTTTTCTTTTATGGATAATGATATATATATATATATATATATATATATATATATTTTTTTTTTTTAATTTTTTTCTCAATCTTTTTGTACTTTTTATTTGGATATATCTACTACTGATCCCAACTAATTTGGGATAAAAATATTGTTGATGTTAATTTATTAATTATTTAATTAATCCTTTCATTTTTGTTAGATTGATACGGATTCTTCCAAGATTATTATTTTTTCTTGTGTCACAACTCTACTGACTAAGCTATTTAAGTGAACTAAACAAAATTATTTTAAAAAATATTAATATAAAATAATCCCATTTTAATAAATATTTTGTTAATTTAAATACAAAAAAAAGTTTGTCACTTTTTTATATATATTTTTATAAGGAATATGTAAACTAAATCCCCAAACTCTATGAATGGGTTGAAAATAAAAGATGGCTAAACAATCTCACAAAAAGGAGATGAGTTGTGTGTTCTTCTTCAAGAAACACTTAAAAACACAACCCTTTTATACCAATTTCAACTACAAACGAAATTCACAGAATACTAAACTTTTCTCAACCCAAAAACATAATTAAAACATGTTCAATAACATCCAATTCAGATATTAAATGGCGGAATCAAAATTAAATGAAAAAGAGAAAAAAAATAAATGTTAATGGCAACACTATTCAAGAAATCATGCAAGAATGAAAAGAAACTAAAAACTATCAATACATATCTTTTAAACAGATTCAAAACAACATATAAAATGAATAAAAATGAAATCAATTGATCAAAATCAAAGAGATAAGAGTAAGGAAGAATCACACTAGAATATATCCAAATTCACTCTCTAACCACTTGAGAGCTACATCCAGACTGAGGTCAATCCATTCACTATGCTCTAGCTTCCAATTGGTACCAGAAAACTGTCTTACAATGGAGTTTTTTTTACAAGTCTATAACCAAACCTTTGATCACACTTAACCTATCACCTATAGGGTCTCTCCAATTTACCAAAATCAATTACAACAATTCACTTTTGTCAAACAGATGTAGAGAAGTCTCTCCACATCCAGTATAATAAAAAAGATTAAGAAATGAGATAGTAATTGATCTTTTCCTCTAGGATATGCAAAAGTAGCCTAAATGGGATGCAATTTTGAACTCTATGTGTTCTTACATTTTTTAGTCTTAATTCTTATTCAGAAACCCTAAAACAATGTATTTATAGGTGCCCATATGAGTTAATAGCTGTTTATAGCCGTTGGACATCTAAAATTTCTAGTTACTTAATCTCTAAGTCACTTATAACAAGTAATTGATTACTTTTCGGGGAGCATTCAATTACTTCTTCAAACCCATCTAGTACTAGATTAATATTCATAAGGTATTCAAATACTTCTTCAAACCCAGAAAGTATTCAATTAATTTGCAAAAAGTATTCAATTATTTTTATGCAGATGACAGTTTCTTGCTGTCTTTTCAAATTTAATGCATCTAAGTGATTTCTAGTGACTTCTAAATAATTCCTAATGACATATAACACATGTATGATCATGTTCCACGCTTATCTAGATACTTTTTGATGAGTGTGATCTTGTATGCATGATTAAAGTGAATATGTGTGACTAATGCATGAGTTTATCGTCCAATTCTACATTTTCCAAGATACAGCTCAATAAACTCATTCCTATAAGTTCTATGACTCTATAAAGACATTACAAACAGTATGTACATGAGTCTTCATTCGTCTTCAACAGTCTTTATAGTTTGAGCCTTCTAATACTTCTTTTAACTTGAAAAACTTTGACTTTAAGGTTGACTTTCCATATTTGAGTATTCCCTTCAAGTTTACATTTTGCTTTAGTCTTCTAGTACCATTTGAAACTAGCTATCATGCCTTCCATGTAGAGGATCCATGTTGAGGTATGTTGGTCCATTGCAGGTGTTTTGTTATCATCAAGACTTCACAAATATAATCTTCATGATCTATGGTTCAACATGGGTTGCGTTATTCCAGGTTGATGAAAGAAACCCCTCTCAACCAAATCCAGTCCCAACTAAATTTGATTGATCTAGGGCCTATTTTTTTATACATATTTAGGGCCTGTTTAAATTGTGTTTTCGAAAATAATTTTTTGATTTTCAAAAAATAAAAATAAAAATATCTATTTGATAAAGCCTATTTTGTAAAAATAATTCTACAAAATAATAACTATTTTTTAGTTTTTAAAATCAAATTTAGAGAACATGTCTAAGTTTGTTATAGACTCATATATGAGGCTCGTTTATCACCAAGCCCATCAAGGGGCAATATAAATATAAATATGATATAATTAAAGGAGGATATCCATCAAAGATATCAATCCTAATATGACAACATTAAACATGGGCTTGGGTTGCTGGAAGAGGCACAGAAGGTCCAGAATCCAATATCTACAAGTAAACTCTATAAATAGGAGGTAAAACCTACATGTATGATTATTTTCTCTTTTACTGTTACGCTGTCATTATGCACACACACCACCCCTTTGGCAAAAACTGTCCTTTACTCTTTGTGCATAGTGATCTGCTAAATTCAAGGATATCTAACTAATAGATACCTTAGAGAGAGAACCTAGATCCAAAAGAAACTTACTAGCCTATTGGGCTAGACATCTCTGTCTTCAGGACAGAATATTGGCACCGTCTGTGGGGATTGATTAAACCGTTATTCCCACGACCACGAGCAAGAATGGCAGTTCAAACAAGGAGTAGCGGTCAACTGCTGTCACATCAAAATCTACCATTGAATCCTGCTGTGGAGGAAGCAAATCAACCATAGAATCAACCTGAGAACGATATTGATTTTGATGTTGTTCACGTGAATGAGGAAGTCTCGGACATAGCCGCTACACCTGCTCCTCAGAATCAAATCATAGCTCCATATAATCATCCTGCAGATGCGGCTGCTTGGGTTGCACTTGCTGTGGATTCAGACACCCGCCTTGCATAGACTGCGTTTACCACGATTCTAAAAAGGATGAAGGAGATGGAGCAACGTAACAATCTTCAGTGCCAGGAAGATCTCAGGAGGTTTCAGGAGATAGAGCAACGTAACAATCTTCAGCGAGAGGAAGATCTCATAAGGTTTCAAGAGATGGAGGGGCGTCTAATGCTGATAAGGACTCCAAAACGTGATGGAGACCAGATCCGAGATGGAGAAAATTGTAGAAGAGAAACTCACAGAGGGGTTCGTCAACTTTGGGATGTCAATGATCAGGTCCGAATTAATACGGATCATAACCTAGATACTCAAATCCAGGTTGGGATTACTGAAGTACAAGGTGTGGCTGATACTGGTGGGATTTTAAATCCTAATAATCAGATCCGTATTGGCAACAATGGTGAAGGTCACAGCCTAGGCACTAATCACAATATGAATGTGATAATTCCTACCCTTAATGCTGGAGCAGGGAGGAATGTGGAAAGCAACTGGGGTGATATGCATCACAACCAGGATACTTAGTTTCCATATAATCAGGATAATGTTCAAGGTCGTATCGAGACTAGTGCTTACAGTAGGAAATATAGAAAGGGACAATACAATAATAGTCCCTTCACTAGTGGAATTCTTAATGCTCCATTCTTAGAGGAATTTGACTTGGCACACTTGCCGAAGTATGATGGAAGCCAGGATCCACAGGTCCACATAGATGCTTTTGATACTGATGTACATCAAAGGTATTGATGAACCAATTATATCCTGCATATTTGCTACAACTAAGACTGGAGTTGCGCAGACATGGTTCTCAACCATGCCTACTAATTTGATTGGATCTTTTGAAGACTTTAGGGACAAGTTCCAATTGAATTTTGCAACAAGCAAGAAGCATCCGAAATCCAAGTTTGCACTTGGAAAAATTCGACAGCAATCTGGAGAGACTCTCTAGAAATATTTGAACCGTTTTAAAGATGCGGCATTACAAGTTCCGAGTTTACAAGAAAATGTTCATGTGCATTTGATTGTGTCCGACTTGGATGGTGCATCTCGGTTAGCAAAATCTATATACAAAGATCAGTGAAAACTTTAGAGGAATTCAGAGCACGGTCAAAGAAGTACTTGGAGCTTTAGCAAATGGAGATAGCAAGCGTGTCAGGAGAGAAAAATAAGAAAGGGAGTCTGAAGAGGAAAAGTCCAGCTCCAAAGAAAAGAGAACGACCAGGCAATAAGAAGA